AACTTTGTAATACACAGAATTTCCACAGTCACTTTAAACTAACTTTACAACCTTTATAACACACACTATAAATCACAGTGATTCACACATTTTACTTACGGTGCCTACTGTTCGCTTGACTCAATTATCTATCTCTTCGAACTATCTATATATCTTCAATCAATCAGCTTTATCTGTCAGACTTATATACTAAAAAAGAGGGCGCCTCGAAGAAACTAGAGTTGCCAGGAAAATTCATGATCCTTCCAAAAACTCCAGCATCGCGTGACTTCCGCTGTCACTTAGTAACAATGTTGGTCAGCAGTTCAAACAGAATTTACTATTAACAATTAGACTGATTGAATAGTTCAAACAGCTTCACATTATGTTGTTGCATAAAATTTACAACGTATTTGTTTATTCTAAAACTGTTTTTTTTTCTATATCATATCAATCATGTACAAATTATGTTACAGGACAAATGTAACAACACTTCTATCTTAACTAAAATTTTATAAGTATTAGGAGAAATATTTTATACATAACTCACCTCCCATACCATTTTTACAGTTGTGGAATTAATTGCTCTAACGTCTTGAAGTCTAACATTACACATACTTAAGCGTAGGCGAGCTTCTTCAAGATCAAAATCTGGCAACATGTGAACATGTAGGCCTACAGAAAGGAGATAGATCATGTTAATGTTTGCATCTTGATAGTAATTAAATAATTATTTGAACATTAACAACAATTCCCCTTTTGTAGGAGTTCTACTATGAAAATTTAACTTATACAAATTTCATTCCACCCTTTTACTTTTGTTAATGTTAAACAAGTATTTGTTTCAATAATATAAACATAATTTACAGCAAATATACCTTCATTATTATAAAATTACTTATGAATGGTACCATCTAATCCACCTCAATTAAGCTCTTTCGTTAGGGTTAGGACGCTCGACTCGCAATCTGCGGGTCGCGGGTTCGAATCCCCGTCCTACTAAAAAATGCTCGCCTTTTCAGCCGTGGGGGCGTTATAATGTGACGATGAATTCCACTATTCGTTGGTAAAAGAGTAGTCCAAGAGTTGG